TTAATTCATTCATTTTATAAGGCCTTAGTCAACCTTGAGAATGTTCAAACTTGTTATATAGCTTTAACAGAATTCAATTTCCACAAGGGAAATTAGTCAACTAAGTTTTCGTATCAATTGACGAAATTGGTTAAACAGGGCTTAAATCTCCAAGTCAAGAGAATCAGTTGACCAACTGTATAAGTCGATCGACTAGTGTACTCTAGTGTAGGGTGCAAATTGATTTCAAATGAATCAATCAACTAAGTGTTTTCATCAGTCAACTAAAATCACTATAGTGTACTAAGAATCAGTTTGATAGAATCAAAGATTCAGTCAACCGAAAGTAGTCAAATGTACTTTTGATCATTTTTGAACATAAACTTTCATTCGACCAATTAAAGACTCGGTTGACTAACTTTTGAAAGTCAGTCGACCAACTTGTAAAGTTAGTCCACTAAATCTGTGATTTCAAAAATGCAACAGTTAGTTCAATTATCCCTTTGTGCATCTAGGGCACCAAACAACCATATTTTTTAGAGGGACTATAAATACTCAATGTTTTGAACATTTAGGAGTATGAACTACCATTGAGCTTAAATGCAAACAACATTTATTGTAATCAATCATTAGAACCCCAAATTCTAGATTTCAACTTTCTTTCATTTATAACTGTAGCTTGTATTGAAAAATCAATCTGTGAGAGAATTATTGTTGTACCAAAATCATTCTCTATCATTTATTGCTAATGGAAGAGGGCTAGCGTATCCCTTGGATTCAAAGCGAAGGGTTTTTCACTTTGGGGGAAAGAGAGCTTGAAGCTTCTTTGTAATGGGTTTATTCTCCACATTGAAGGAGAAAGTATAGTGGATCTGGGAATCTACAAGAGGGCAAAGACCAAATTCATTTGTCTATATTTGATAATATCTTTTTATCTTTATTTGATTTATTTTTTTGCATAAATAATGTAATTGAATTAGTCTGCCTAGTATACCAAAGACCTAATATTTTCAAAACCATACGATTTTCTTTATTTTTCCAGCAATTCTAAATTTCATATTGTTTCTAAAAATATTCATTTTCATGGAATTTTAGAAATCTCAAAATTTTACCTCAAATTGGAGCTTTGATGGCATTCTAATTCAGAAATGTGGTTAAGTAATTGCACAGTTGTCATCACTCATTAGGAGCACATTTTGGTCATATCTAACATTTTTAGGTGCATTTAGCTTCTGGTCAAATCATCAAAATATGATCACTATGTCCCTAAGACATTGGGCTGCATCAATACTCTGTCGAATTTTCACCAAATATCACTTAATACATCATATATAATGCATTGTTTTAAAAACTTTAAAAATTTTCTAAAATTTTCAAATTTATAAATACTTCTACATCAATTTTTACAATAAAATAATTTCTTTTGACACTTAACAAAACTCATTTGTCAAAATGTAACTCTGCCAAAATTATAATAAAGTACCCTAGGTCGAAACATGTCTTTTCAAACTATACCTGATTCTTTCCTTTTCAAAGGAAAAATATGTAGGCCACCCTTGGTTTGGTTCCACCAATAAAAAGTCGCTAGCTTCTCTTAATTCAAGTTAGCATTAGTTGCATTAGGTGCCTCTCACATTTAACACTTGGTCACTTGTACATAGGTTAGTCCATGTCATCACAATGTTCAAGTTAATACTCGGGTTACCAAGTCATAAGCATTATGCCATAATGACATGAGTTAAGGTCTTCATAATAGGCCTAATATCATTTCTAACAAGACTAAATTAACAGAGAATCTTATAAGGTTCTACCTGCACTGACATACTTAGAGAAACATGTAAAAGTTTAGTAACAATGCATAAGTATGTATTTGTGGGGTGCCTAATCCCTTCCCCATGCATAATCAAAACCATTGAATCAGTAAGTATGGTCATTCAATTTAATTCGAATCACATATTCTAAGTGATCTAACACACCACAACTCAATTTTAGATAGCGACTCCATGTTCCTAAGGCCATATTACATTTTGTCCCATAAAAAATCTTATTTTTCTAAGGGCATCCTCATCTACATCAACTTAATAAACATTCCCCCACGATGTTGTCGTAGGAAAAATCAGGGCAAGACAATTACCTAAACCTTAACCAAGAGAGCTGGTTGCAACGAAACTAATCACTAACCATGGAACACAAAGGATGTCGAGCATCTCAAGGAAAACTACTGTTAGAGGAAGGTCAAATCAATCAAGAGACAAGTAAGCAAGTCTAACAAGCATCCTTCTATGGGACCAACTTGTTACTGTTAGAGGAAGGTCAAATCAATCAAGAGACAAGCAAGTAAGTCATAAAAAGCATCCTTCTATGGGACCAACTCGTTGATAAGGGATTGATCTTGATAGTTGTGTTACCACAAACACCTCAATACCAAGAACAATAATTGTTGAAGGATGTAAATATTAAAATTACATCCTCTTTAATAGGTTAAACTTTTAGAGTAGATGGTGGTTAACATGGTATTAGAGAAAGTAAGGCATAGTGTTCAACCCTCACCATCACCCTGATAATTAAAACTGAAACACGTGTTGGACCAAAGAAGGCCACACGTGAGGGGGCGTGTTAAAAGGATTTAAATATTAAAGTTACACCCTCTCTAATAGCTTAAGCTTTTAGAGTAGATGGTGGTTAATCATAACAAAAAGACAAAAAAAGTAAAACCATGAACCACACAACACAAAAATTTACGTGGTTCGGATTATGCCCTATGTCAATGGTGAAGATTGACAAAGAGATTTCAGTATATGAAGAACAAATAGAGAGTCCAAGTTGTGATCAAGAATCATGAAAGAAAAGACTAAGCTCGAACCACAATTTGGCATAACTTTGTGAGTAGTAATAGTCACATGTCGATTAAATGATCCCTCAATCAGTGTGGTTAAGGGGGAGAATTTCAAGACAAAGCGGTCAAGAGCAAATGATCATTATCTTTAATAATTGTCCTAAGAAATATGTTGACCATGCCGATTGAGGACTGAGATCATGAATTGTTAACCAAAAGAGATCATGAATTGTTGACCAGAAGAGATCATGACTCAGAGATGTCTCAATTCCTCGGTTGCAACTCTTGACTCTCATGAATTGTTGGAAATCCCAGGTTGCCATGCTAGGGACAAATTGTTTGAATCAAGGATCAACACGTGGTCAATACAGCGCATTACCACCATAGTGGTCAACAGAAACACCAACCCTAGCTCGATCAAATTGTGATCCAAGACATCTTCTCAATTCATAATACCAAGGATGTAACTTATCAAAAAAAAATAATAATACCAAGGATGTGAAGACAAGTTTAATTTAAGTTAATGGTGAAGTTCCCAAGATTCAACAGAGCTCCAGAAACCAAGTTAAGCAAATTGAATAGAAGTTTAAAATAAATAGTATGATCATGCTTAAAGGTCGTTAAGAGGGTTCAACAGCCAAGGCATGGACAAGATTAGATTTTCAGCTAGCATGGTTGGGAAAAGCTAAAAATGGGTAAACAAGTAGAATCAACAAAGCATAAAGAGGTTGAAGCTCACCAACTAGAGATGGGTAGCACACAAAACTGACGCATGGTCAAACATAAGATTGCCAAAAGTTGAAGAGTCCATGGGCAGTCGTGACTGATTGCTTTCAAACTTGATTCCCATGAAAAGTTATATGAAGAGAACCAAGCAACAAGCCAAGCTAGATACCCCAAGGGGTTGACTCAAGTCGGTAAGTCACTTTCCCTGGTGCCTCAAGAAGCATCAAGTCTAAGGTTCGACTCCTCTTGGGTGCAAACAATTCCTTGGTAGGGAGTGTGGGAGTACCAACTAGGAAAAAAAAAAGAAAAAAGAGCAGAGCTAGACCCTTATAAATACCAGATAAAAGTCCCACAAGCAGGGGGTCTAGCACTATCATCCAATAAGCCAATATCTTAGCTTATCATGGCTTATAGCTTGTAGCTTTATCTATCACATCTCTTCAGTTTCCCAATCCTTGTAGCTCTTTGGCTTTAAATTAGGTAGTTGTAGCTTATTTTTAGTCCGATAATTTAGTATAAGAATGAGTGGGAAAAATCTCTCTAAGAAAGTCTCATTGAAGGTTTTTATTTCATCACTTGCAACCACTACTTTAACTTTTCCATCTATTAATGAATGTCTTTCTTCATGAGCGTGTTGAATTTCTTATTCAGCACATATGTGTTTTCTAATCTCATTGTTGAGCTTTCATTTTTGCCGGAAGCCCTCATCGATAAGGCATTTAGAAAATGGTCAATGACGATTATTCCTAAACCCTTATAGTCAACCGATCCTTAGAAGACCTACCCACAGTCTGAAATATAAATAGTTTGACTCACTCACATTTGTGGCAAGCTTGACCCATGTTACAAGCCAAACAATCTTGTCTTGCCTCCTGGGACTTGGAATTACAAGCCAAACAATTTTATTATTATCTTTAAGGTTGCAGTCACTGAATTACTATTGTTCTGATACAACAATGAAATTTAGAAAAAAAAATTCCTAGTGAATTTTAGGGATCCTCTAAATTAATTATATTTATTTTCCTCCTATTTTGGTTCTACTACGTCATGGACTCTTGTAATGTCATAATTTTTAGTATTATATTTGCAAAGAACTTTTGACCCTTTTTTTTTTTTTTTTGGTCGACCATGGGTGAGTTTGGCCTTAAGCACACCATAATCTCCATCCCGTATGCACCAGGCAAGTACCGAGAAAATCACAAAGGGGTGGCCCCAAGGAGATTCAAACTCTCAGCCTCAAGAATGTGAGGTCAGAGTTTTTGCCATTTGGAGATTCAACTTTCCTATATATAGTATTTTAAAACTTTTCTTTTTCCTACTACTTAAACAAAAAATTTCCAAACCAATAACGGAATAAGAACCAAGGAGATATGCACGTCCAACCCCAACAAAGGTAAAAAATAATTGTACAGCAAAATAAACAATAAAAAGAGGAGAGATAGCAGATTAAGAGACTAACAAGAGTATAGTAAGTTTTGCCACCAGTTTAAGTGTGCTCCACTTTTAAACGCAGAAGAACTTTTGGAAGCAATTATTGTCAGGGCCGAATAAGGTCGCACCCATGCCAGTTCGGGGTAGCACCGAATTAATAGTAGAGCAATGTCTGCAACATACATTAGATAAAATTAAGAATTCATTAGTAGTAAGAAACTGTTTTACTTTAAACTTTTTCTTTTTTTCTTCTTTTTTTTTTTTGGCATGTGCTTGTGCAGAAGTATTATAGGTGAACGAGTTGTACTAAGTGATGCTGACTTCTTTCGAATTAAAAGCATTTTCTATGGAAATGAAATACTGCTTACCATAAAGACCACTAAGTATCAGATCTTTGACAAGTTTAGCACCATTTATACCCTCAAATAGTTTGGGTGTAATATCTGTCTTAGTAACGTCCAACAAGTAAACAACCATCTTTCTTCGGCAGAATGTAGCAGCTTGGAGGAGAGGTGACACATCATTATTGCTACAATAATTGGGCAGGTCTGGGTTCTTGTCCACTAAGAACTTGGCTGCCTCAGTGTTGCCGGCTATTGCAGCATGATGTAGAGCTGTCATGCCACCATTATCACGTAGACCCAAATCCTCTGGTGCCAGGAACTCCAAGAGTTTCTTCACAAAATGGTTTCCCCGCGCAGATCTAATTGCTATCATGAGTGCTGTTTCTTTGGTTCTCGTGATGAAGGCTCTCTCAGCACCTGGATTTTTTTAAATAGATTCTTTGGCAGCCTCCCAGTCACCTGTCAATGCAGCTTTGTGCAGCGGCAAGTATTGACTAGTTGGATCTTCTTCTGTTTCTTCATATGGCATTGTCATGAAAAAACACAAATAAAAATTAGTGATCAGAATCTTTTTAATTATTTCATTCATGATTATGAAATTTAAGTTTGAAACAAAAAACTACTTCTCTGCAAGCGAATGTAAGGCTGCATACGTCTGATGCTCTATAGACCCTGCAATAGCAAAAGCCTTGTGCACTAGATTCACCTTCTTTTTTAAAAAAAACTATGAAATTCAAGGATTTAATATAGGAAGAGTAATACAAAATTAACTCATGAACAAAACTTTTTATGTTTATTGTGCATTTATTCAACCAGATTAACTTTTATATAAAATAATGTCGATCAAAAATCCTATTCAGTCTCTCTTTGGTCCTTTTTCCCAGTACCATGCATGTCTATGTAGTAACATGTATCAGTGCTTTACCCAAAAAACAAAAAACATGTAGTATCAGTGCTTGATAATGATTAAGGACCACCATATTTCTGATAGCTAGATAATTATCACACACACTAACGAAAACTGTCTAGTTTAAATATAGAAGAGTAATCATGGTGATTTCACTACAAAAAAGTAGGTTTTTTGCTACAAATTTTTTTTTTTGTTTTCAGGAAAAAGTTATGTTTTCATAGCAAGAGAATTCTAGAGACAAAAATTTTGTCACCAAGTTGTAGCAAAGGCAGGTAGCAAAAAGTCATCGCATTTTAGTTTTGTAGCAAATGTAATTATATTCACTACAATTTGGTTTTGTAGTATATGTTAAGCTATTCGTTACAAACTTTGGACATAACAATTCACTTAGGGCCTGTTTGGGGCATGCTCCATCTTGTTCTATGCCCTTCCCTACGGTGCAAATGGACACTATTGAGGACACCAACTTGTTTGGGCTGTATTGTGTCCAATAGTGCTAGAACAATTTCAGTTTTTCGGCCAATTTCCGGAACAAAAAAATCATGTTCCAAAGTGTTCCCAAATTATGGTCGGCCTACTATTCACTGTAGAATGGAGAACAACAGCCCAAAAACAAGGAATCCACATAACAAAATGTAAAGAATCAGTCCATCTTGTTCTAGGGTTCTCTCTACACGACTGAGGCGATTCACAGTGTACCCTTTTGTGTCTGGAGCTTTCCGAGATCTAGGGTTGAAATCGACACCATTGATGTAAATACGAAGCTTCTCGGCAACGTCTTCTTCTCACCGGTGAGTTCCAAACATGCATCTTCTTCATAAATGGAGTCATTCTGTTCTGTCTAAATTTAGTCACATGTATAATGAAGATCCTTGTTCTCGGTGTTCCATTGTGTATGCAGATCTGAAGATAAACTTCCCCTTTGTGACCTCTGGGTTTTCCGGCGAACCAAGCTTCGCCGCTGCTCTCTGCACTCTCGGATTCACAGGCGATTCTCGGTCTATTTACCTTCATCGTCGACACCAAGTGAGTTAATTTTTTGTTTGCTTGAAAAAAAAAATTAATTATGAAGACCTTGTTGCCTGATTTGTTGAGGAATGCTCTCTTGTATCTCTATTTATGGTGTACTGTGGCTTCGCCGGACCATCAAACTGCCAAGCCTCTTGTATCAAGCTTCTAACTTGCTTTGATTTTGTAATTTGTTTGTCAATTAAAATGTTCAGTAATGGGGATTTTGTGGTGGAATGTTCAAAAAATTCACAGTGGACTGAAGGAAAGGGTTTTGATTGCAACCCGGTGACACTGTTAGATCCTGTGTGCATTGTATATACATAGATATATATATATGTATACATATATATATATATATAGATATATAATTAATTATATATAGGCATAGCCACTGTGTGCATTTTTTTGTTAAATTGATGCATCTTTGTGGTCAATGATCCTGTGTGCAGGAAGAGTTGATATATATATATATGGATGTTGTTAATTATATAAAAACAAGTATTTTTCAGCGATTATTTTTTGAATACTTGAATACTTGATATAAAAACTTGTTGTCTTCCAGCGATTCTATCACGTTAATCACGCGACCTCATGCTCTTCAGTTCTTGATATGAGCCACACATATTCCTATCTCTATACTCGACATATATCATTCAACAAAACAGTTGTGAAATGACAGAACAAGTGTGTTCAATTGTGTAATTATTTTAGTAAGAAGAATTTACTGACCCACAATAAAAGATGAGATGTTTTTATGAGGGAGGATTTGGAGGTCTGTTTCCTGGTCTGAACGGTTTGACCACCAGATCCAGTCCCATATTCAAAACATTGCTCCACATTCATCTCAATGAGAATAAGTAGAGATTGGTGTCACTAATATTTCTTCCTCTCATTTTAATGTATTCTCTTTACTTTTCTTACAGGCGATTGGCATATGGCTTACATTTGCATGTACAAGGCCCGAGTCGTTCCCATGTAATTTTTTTTTTTCCTTCTAATCTTTGATATAGATTGGATTATAAGTTTGGTTTACATTGCCATGGGACTTCCACAATTAATGAAGGTTTATGAAAATAGATTTTATATAATTTGATTGTTGTACTGTTACGTTGTGTTAAATATACGAGTGCCAAAACCTATGTATTTTCGGTGTTATATTTCCCTTCTAAATTGATTATGCTCCATTTTAATGTGAATGAGCAAGAGAAACAACCCTTCTTGTTTCCGGGTTTGAAGAATCATTTTCCTATTTTCTGTTTTTCTGCATGGAGGTTCAAAGTTCAATGAACTTTGGCAAGGTTCATTTCCTAGTTTCTAGTGTCCCATGAAGGTTCAGGAGTTCAATATACCGGTTTATTGTATTTTCACCTGATCAAGGACCGGGTCTGATCGATATTAACTGTTTCTGGTCGGGTGGTTTGCGGTCGGACTTAAATGCTAACACCCAATTCATTTACTCATTCAGATCTGATGTTGACCATAGCACTGTTTGTTTATCTATATTGTTGGTTTGAATTGAAATTTCAGTATCTACATAAGGAGAGATTCTCTTTCCAACTATCATATGATATCATTTCAAAATTTCAAGAATTTCCTTTTGCTAATGAACTCTTTCGATCCTAATTTGTCATAATGTAACTTCCAAGATTTAAGTGCTGTTTGGCTCTAAAACGTAAAATATTACCAACAAATCAATGTGAATGAAAGGTGATTAACAGGCATCGAAAAAATGCCACGTGAAATCATATGAATATATTTATTGGTCTATTTTTAGTCGAATTGTTAGTCGAATTGTTTAGTTGATACTTGAAAAAAGTTACCATTCTTAATTAGTGGACAAAACACATATGATTAATAATTGTAAAACTTTTGACGAGGTCATAAAGACAAAACTATAGAGGACCTGGGCATAAAGAAATGTTTGATTACAAATAAGGAATGAACTGAAATAAGAAGTATGAAAAACAAGAAAATAGATCTAACCCCTTGTATAATGTTTTGGGATTCTATCTTATACACTTTAACAATGAAAGATCAAATAATCAAAGGGCTTTTGGACTAGTTGTATAACTTGAGGTTCGAGCCTGGGCCTAGACAAAAAGGCGTATATGTTTGCTTTAATGTTGAGATAAATGTGAAAGAAAAATGGTAAATCCGATGACATTATTCCCAACTTACGTGAGTATAATAGGATGTGTCTAATTATCGGACTATGTAAGTAAAACAACTCAAATTGTTTTTGCATTTAATGGCGTGATTATAATTGTGTAGTTAAGACGATGTTATTGGCTAAGATTACAATTGTTAATGACCCTTTTAACACATTTTTATTAAAACTATGTAATTAGATAGATATCAATGCTGACAATGTTTGCTGACAATGTTGACAATGTTTGAAAAATTATATGGTTGGATGACATGCACCAACGTCTGCCAGTGGGTGGTCATGTGCAGGAAGAGTTGGAGGATGTAGTTGCTGTTATGCAAGCTCAACAAAATCGGCAAAACTACATTATCTATGGATGTTGTTGTTGTCTTACTATAACTATATTTTTGTTGTTTTTGCTTATGTTGTTGTTGTTTATTATTGTGGCTGTTGAGAAATAATGTAATATTGAAAGTTTAATTTTATTTCATGAACTTTTATTGGCATTGTTGACGAATGCTGTAATATTTTTGATACTCGTGTATGTAATATATTAAAATTCATGAAACTATGATATGTTGAAACTTTATTTCAGTTCCATATTTGGATTTTTTTAATTTATTTTAATGGTTTTTATAATAAATTAAGATAAATAGAGGAACAATATGTTAAAATAATACAATCATTTTTTCTTACTTTATACTTAATAAAGTTAGAAAAAATGCATTGAAGAAAATATTATTTAAAAACATTTTTAATCCAACATATTTAATTATTTTATTTATCAAATTAATTTTGGTTACACTTTGGAACACCAAACATGTTTTGTTCTCATATTTCTTAGAACAATATACATTACCAAACATGTTCTACCATGTTTTTGTTCCATGATTCGGTAGAGCAAACTTGGAACACCAAACATGTTTTGTTCTCATTTCAGAACATCACACTACAAAACACTTGTTCTGTTCTAGGCTAGAGCAGTACACTACATCACACTACACTTCCCAAACGGGGCCTTAACAATTCCCACAAAAATTCCTAGACTTAGGTAAGACCCAATTTCGTAACAAATAATTATTTTGGCAATATATATATCAATAGAAACATTTACAAACCCCATTAAAAGAGACTGGATAAAATAAATTGGAGAACTTGTAAGAATTTCAATTTTAAACCGTTTACAAGAATTACAATTTCTCAAAACAAAACTATAAGAACATAACAAAACAAAAACAAGAAAAATACATAACAAAAACTAGGAAAGTGCACTGCAAAACATTAGAAGAATAAGCCTTACCAGTGTTACTTTCACCAGAGGAGTCAGGATTGAAGTTCCAGTTGATCATTTCCCATATTTCTTTTGTGGTTTCGTAATCTAACACAAGCTCAATATCATCTTCAAGGATCGTCCCTAAAATCCAGCTCTGCAGCAGGGCATCAGTTTTTTTCCAGGCCTTGTAATCCTCATTCTCTATCTCCGTTGTCACGTTGGTAGAGCAATTACCACCATCATCTGGTACCATGATCCTTTTAACTGGTTGTGAAACCTGCCCGTTGATGAAACCGACCAAGCCTTGACTCTCAATAAGACGAAGCATCAACTTTTGCCACGTAGAAGAGTTATCTACAGAGAGCTTGATGGGAACAAAGTCCCTCACATTGATCTCTGCTGGGAATGGGTACTCTGCAAAAGAGGATGAGTTTGAGAAAATTAACTATTTTTCTTCATAATAGGAAATAACTATTCGGAGTACTACATTGTGGTACCCCTGGGTACCCAATATTTTTTATGTAATCATTCACATAATTAAGTCATGACCTTACCTATTTTTCTTTCATGCAGGGAAATTAACTTTGACCAAATATCTTTAGCAGTTTTCAAGCAAACCATATTTGGAAGAACATCTTCACTGATCGTCGCTAAAACCCATCTTTGTAACAGCGCGTCTGATCTTTTCCAATCCTGGTAATCCTTGTTCTCCATCTCCTTCGAGATAATATCACTATTTGGTACTGTGATCCTTTCAAGTGGTGCCGGAACTTTGCCATTGAAGAAACCAACCAAGCCTTGACTCTCAAAAAGACGAAGCATCAGCTTTTTCCACACAAAATAGTTTTGTTTAGAGAGGATGACAGGAACAAAGTCCCTCACATTAACCTCTTCCGGATATGGGTACTTTACAAATGACGCAGACTTTGAGGAAGCCATTAATAATATTAATGGAAGGACAAGGGGAGATTAGGGGTGTGAAAGTTTTAGAGAATCTCTAACACGGTGGAGTAGATGTGTTTAGCTCTAGTCAATCAATCCCAATATCAGATAGTACTAGAGCTGGAATGTAGAGTCTCTCCCTCTCTAAACTGCTATATAGAGATGGAGTGTAAGCATTATTCACTTACATGAAGCAAGCAAAGTATTTGAGAGCTTTATCAAATGTAATAAATTAATAAAAGCTAGTGTAAGCATTATTCTGTTAGATGAAGCAAGCAAAGAATTTGAGATCTTTATCAAAAGTAATAAATTAATTTTTTTTTTTGATAAGTTATCAAAAGTAATAAATTAAGCTAGTAAATGCATCAGGCAGCATGCTTCATGTATGTGACTAAATTTTTCTGCGTTGTGAATACAGTGTCCTTTTTTTGTTTATTTCCACTTTTGTCAATGCTATTTGAATCTTTATTATCATTAACATTAGCTTCAAATTTTTGTCTACCACATTAACATTGGCTTCAAATAGTTGCAAGACAATAATTAAAAAATATACCACTAAAATTATAACAAAGAAACTTCATTTTTATATCATACACATAAAAGCTATCTTTCCAATTGACTCACAAGCTTATTCAAGACGCAACCCTAAGTCCATTACCTTGAACTGCACTGAAGTAGATAAAGACACAAATCTCCGGCAATACTTTGTTAGAACATCAAAAATATCAACAAACTAAACTTGTCAATAAATCCCTGTTCGAAAAAAAATTTAATAAAAAAAATTAAATTTAAATGAAAGTTCCAAATAAATGAGGATGAATGAGGGATTACTTTTTAGGATGTAGAAAAACCACTGAGACCAAGGTAAACCACTTAGTACCGCGATGACAAAAATGATTATGATATATAACTAGGTAATTAACCCACCTAAGTTACACTAGTATTAGGGCCATCACTGTTATTATATTATAATTCTGATGGATTAATAAGAGAACCAATCTGTCCTAATTATATAAACAGCTATAAGAAAGAATACAGAAAAAGATCAGCACAGTATATAGCAAAATTGGAATGGCCTCTTTAACATAGCAGGAGCTGCAGAAACAAAAAGAAACAAATCAACCTAAGATTGAGATGAACAAGATATGATCAAATAATATTATCCAATGAACAATTTAGATACAACATGAACAATCAAATGTTGAGAGTCCAAACCTTATCCCAATATGCCTCTGCATCGAAAAAAATTGTGAACTTGAAAAGAGACAAGTGACCATTCTGATGATGATGATGTTGTTGAAGATTCAAGATTGAACTCTATGGATTTCTTTCTTTCACACCAAAAATCCACAAATATTGTTCACAAGCACACACCTTGGTTCGGATATCTTTGATTGCCAAACGGATCGTTGGGTGCAGAGCTAGAGAGAGCAAAAAACGAGCGTTTGGAATTCGTATCTTGTGTTGGATTCAGAGCAATCGAAGATTTGAATGCTTATTTTCTCCCTCTAGAAAGTTTATATCGAACATAATTCGGAAGAAAATGAAGCTGATTCTAGGATTAAACATGTGCCTTCATGTTCCCAGCACTCTCACCGGCGTCTGTTGAAGTTGCCGAGAGATTTTCCGATCCCAATTTGCTGCCTTCGTTGCTTTTTCCGGCAGCTCGAGGCTGCGTTTGTCCCTCAACACAGATATCCAACTACGCCTTCGTGAACTTGAAAAGAGACAAGTGACCATTATGATGATGATGATGTTGTTGAAGATTCAAGTTTGAATTTTATGGATTTCTTTCTTTCACACCAAAAATCCTCAAATATTCACAAATCAAATAACTAGGGTTTCGCTCACAATCAAGAATGGATGATAGGGTTTCGCTGAGTTCGTGATGGAGTTGTCTGGAGCTCATTCGACAACGATGAATTCCTTTAGCAATGATACACGACTCGAAAGAAAGAAAACAATTCGAGACGTTTCACACATATATAAATACAACCCCGCCTTTCATAACATTTTGGGTTGAAACCCCCTTATTCGTAAAGGTTGATATGAGTCTTTGATACGGTGTTTCGCCAAGTATTAGGTCCGAAAGGGTCTGGATGTGCCATTGAGTGGCTCTTGCATTCCGACTTTAAATGCGAGAAAATGTTATGAGGAGGACTTATCCATTGCGACAACTTTGGCATCCTTATTTACAAGAGAGATATATATGTAATATCTTAATTTTAAAATGATAGTCTCGGTATTTATTTATCTGTTTTAATTGTATTGTTAATTATTTAATTGATTATTTAACTAATTACTTATATGTTTAATTGAATTAGGTATTTCTTAATTATTTGATTACGTGTCTATATATTATTTGTATTTGTTTATGTGTTAATTGTTTAATTAGATTATGTGCTTAAATGGTGTTTTGATTAATTATAAATTAAATATTTTCTTTTATTTCATTATTTTATTTTATTTTTCTTTTATGGTTATGGTTAGTAGTAATGGGCTAACCAATTGGGTCCCATGGATTACTTAGATAGGAGATTGGATGTGTGTGGATTATTACCCATGGATAATTGTGTATGTATATATATAGATATATATTATACACATATATAAAAAGGAAATTAATTTATTAATTACTTTTATGGTAACTTGAATAGTAATATTTAATCTGATGTATATGCTTTATAAATAATAAAAATATATATAGATTTGATACGTGTTATGTTTTAAGTTACTTTATAATATTATGGTAACTTAAGTATTATTGGATAATCCATTAATAAATAATGGAATGTGTATAATTTATTTATTTAATAAACATATACGCGTAACATATTTTACTTACCTTTTTAATATATATAAAAGGGAAAGTAATTTATTAATTACTTTTATGGTAACTTGGTAGTAATATTTAATCTTATGTATATGTTTTATATTTAAATAATAAAAATATACATATATTTGATACGTGTTATGTTTTAAGTTACTTTATAATATTATGGTAACTTAAGTATTATTGGATAATCCATTAAAAAATAATGAGGTGCGTATAATTTATTTATTTAATAGATATACATAAATTATATACTTAACATATTTTACTTACCTTTTTAATATTTTAATTTTTTTTTTTAAGTTGACTTGGATTGAGAAAAGGGTTAGGGTTATTTTATTTAACCTATAAATATATAGTTATGGGTTGTAGAAGGGGGTTAGAAATATTCACGTGATATATTCTAGAGAGATGGAGAGTTAGAGAGAGAAGGAAGAAAATGAATGAATAAGGAAAAAAACCCTATAGAGAGAAGATCAAGGAAGAAGAAGTTTAACTTTCGATCCGAAAGTTTAAGGCAAGTTCTTCTTCTATCTCTTTCCCTTTGATTCGTGTTTCTGTACATGCCTAGGAAATTCCTGGATTTATTAAACACATAAAATTAAATAATTATGCATGTTTAATTGGATTAAAGTATAGGTTTTTATGAAATTGGTTCATATCTGTTCTTGTGTTATGAATTAAAAAATGCATGATTTTGATTTGATTTCTGGTGTGAATTTTTACATGTTTGAATTATGTATTTTTCATATCTGTGGAATGATGGAACGTAGAAACATGCCTAGGATTCCTAAACATTAAATAGGGACTAGGTTTAGGTTTAAATAAATTTAAATACACTCAATCATAACGATGCTTGCTATTTGAATGTTTAAATAAACGAATGGATTTAATCTTTTAAAATGCTTTAACAATTGAGATTAAATGTGTATGATGAATTGGATATGGAGAATGCTTATTTGACGATATAATAAAATATCATCATGTATAAGATTCAGTTTGGGTAGGACATATGATATAGGAAGCTTAAATAAATAATAAGTCATTCATATTATGTGATAACTTGATATCATATTATCATAGTTATTTCTGGAATGTTTGATGTATTTCTTTAATTATTACATCAATTGTTGGATTGTGTGGTTTAATGCACCGGTATGGGACGGTGGCATTCTAGGGACGGATTAACTTATCAGTTAAGTCCTACCTATTTTATATAAGGGAATGGATTAACTAAAATGTTAAGTCCTACTTATATTCAAGTCAGGTCAGCTGAACAAGTTGAATGATTTATGCAGGATTAATTTATTATATAAGGGAATGGATTAACTAAAATGTTAAGTCCTACTTATATTCAAGTCAGGTCAGCTGAACAAGTTGAATGACTTATGGAGGATTAATTTATACTGGATATGATGGTTACTAGATTATATATATATAAGTATGGTGCCATAATATGAGCTTGAGTCTCAGGATCAGTGGTTAGGGTGCGTATATCGCCAGGAATGTGTAGCTAGATATAGTGTAGTTGTGTACCCTGGTAGGTCTAGGTACTCATGCCCACTATATGTGCGGTTTGCATGTTGCCTACTATTCAGGTTGAGACAACCCTATAGTCTAGTGAAGTTCCTTTAGTGTGTGTGTATATATATATATACGGACTACTAGTTACTGTTGGACTGACTAGGATGTATACGTGTATCGGATCTCTGCTTGGACTGTAGTAGAGTAGAATTTGTTTGTGGGCCTGACCCACCATTATTTTTTAGGTGTTCGTCAAGAGTAGAGGTTGTTCGTGCTGAGCGGGGATCAATCTACTTCATTCTTCCGATGCTACATAGGGGTTCTTTTATGATTCAGTTTCCTGATTTAGACATTTATTGTTACTATTTGTTTAGTTTGGATTTTCTAGGGGTCCACACAGTATGGATTCCCGAGTTGTATTTTGGAGGATCAGTTATATCAGAAGAGTTTATTAATTAATGGAAATATATTATGAGGTTTATTATTAGATTATCATTTTAGTTTCTTGTCAGCATTTTATTTATTCTTCTTTATTCTTTTGTACTCTGTGTTCGTTTATTATCAATTTGTTTTGATATGCTCGGGTATTTGGGCGTGGGCCTGGCCAACCCGCATTCGGGAATCCGGGAGTATCACAGTTGGTATCAGAGCACTCTAGGTTCAAGTGTCCTTAGGAGTGTCTTTCGTTATGTAACTTCCGCGTTGCGTCTCTTAAAACTTAGAGCCCGTATTAGGATTCGTTGTACTTTATTTACGATTTGTTAGGAAGAGCTGATGTCAATTATATTTTGTAGTCATAGAATGGTTGGCACTAGGAAAAGGATGGGTTCAAGGCGAAAGTGGTAAAGAGCCAAAGGAGTAAAGGAGTACGTTATCGATTTCGTTGCCAGAAGGCAGAGTTAGGGATCGATGGTTTAGGTTCATTTGGCGTTACTTTAAAAGTATAAGCTAAGGAAGGATTTAGGTGTACGTGATAGATCACCGCATATCGGGGTCAACACGACTTCAGTTGGTCTCAAAAAGGAGACAAGCGAAGAGTAAGAGCCGAAGAGGATCCTAATGGAGGAGATTTATGTGCATCCAGTAGAGAGGGTACTAAATCTTGAAGATGGATGATCGTGCGAGGTGATCTGAATTGCTAATAGTATAGCGAATGTTATTAGTAGAATTGGAGTTGATCAATCTTCAAATAATTAAGCTTTCTTATCATCTCTAAAAGAGGTATATAAGAAGTATTGTTCAGGAGTTTGGGGATCGGATGTGTTCTTATCAGAACGAAATACATAATTTTTAAATCACATACAAAAAGGCATTGGTATTATGTTGTGACGTTCTAATTCGATTTATAAAGTCAAATTAGACAGTTTACATTCCGCATATAAGGAGGATGAGGGTTAAGCCCTTGGTATTTGCTTAGGCAAACATTTGTGCTTTTAAGCAATGTTTTAAAGGATATGTTTCGAGGTTGAATGATTATTTACGAAACTATAAAAGAAATTTTTGAAACAATCTAGTAAGGTTGATTTCAAAGGAGACTTTCTTTTCTAGAAAGAACGATGTCCTAAGTAGGAGTATATTTTGTTCTATTGTGTTTATCATACGTGTTTTATTTATTTATTTTGTTAATTACTCGGGATTTGGTATGTGGTTTAGTTGGGGACATAAGGGTGTGATCAGCCAATTATTGTTTTAATAACATGGTGTAATAGCGTTATTTACGCTAGATTTGTGAGTATACGGTCGTAGGATTTGGTAGATACACATAAATCTAGCCAATCTATTGAACCTGGACGTGTGTCATTATGGTGTGTTTTGGGATGGGATAATTAAATCATCACTACGAGTCAAACAATTTAGAACGATTAGTTTGATATACTTTACGTTGGTATGGATTCGTATTATATTACAATGCCATGATATTGGTGATTGTTAATGTTTCGGTATGCGTGAGGTAGTGGTAAATAAAGACCACTGTAACGCCATGATGATATATCAGAGGTGCTGGATTTGCTGAACATCTTCTTGAAAATTTCAGAAATTGTTACCAAATCAGAAGGAGAATTTAGTATGGGATTAAGTACTTATTGGAATGACACCGAGTGAGGATAGGAGACTGAATAAATATTCATCAATAAATTCTTAATCAAGAATTTATTCAAGAGGGTGTGTCATTAAGAGGAATTTGCCGGTGTTGCACATGGAGGAGGAAACTAAGTCTCTTCATTTCCATAAATAATATGGAATTATTTTTTTAGTCACAATTTGCAACAATTAGCTGTTGCAAGGAAATTGATGACTTATGTAGATGATAGAAAGATTTCATATTCTTTTGAAGTTAGACAAAGAAGTTGATTGTCATTAACTTGTCTTAAAGAAGCAGGGTGTGTCAAAAATAAGATGGTGAGACCAAACACTTATATAAAGATGAGGTGCATGGTATGTATGGAAATGTCGTAGTTTGTTGACTTTTGTTGAGTTAAAGTCATAGTTGATTATTGATAAATGGAATTACCGATTGACTTGCAATATCGGTAAGTTTATCACAGATCAGTAGTGGATAGATTTAGTTACAGAATTCGCTTTTGAAGATACTCCAATTTAAACAATGGGTACAGACGAAAGCTGGTGGTACCGGATTAACGATACTTTCTGCAGATAAATTGGATAGAGGATGCAAGGACTGAATTTCACAACT